GCGCCTTTCCGGAGATGAAGCAGCTACAATTGCCGGTTAAGCCAGCGTGGGCATTGTTTTGAGCCCCTGGGCTGAAGCTGCCCTAATCGTTTGGATACCTGTCAACAGCTGGATGTGCGTCGTTAGATTGGCTGGCTGGTTCTAGGCTTCGATGTCGCGCGGGGACAAACGGTGCCTCTTTGTCGTTGCCCACAAACTGTAGCGCTGATTCAGTGAAAGTTGAATTCTATCACCAACTTAACGATGTTACTTAGAAAAAATTTCCGGATAATGTGGTGCTTGCTGTCGATCTGAACACCCAAGTCGAGAAATTGTCCTCTGATAAGCTTCACCTAGGCGGCCAACGTAGTGTGGGCTCCCGTAGTGATAACGTTGAGCGATTGCTACACCTGTGTGAAGATGTTTGTCTCTTTCTAGTAAGCACTAATCTTCACCACAACACCCGCAGTATAGTGACTTGGCGCTCACCAACCTCGGATCAGTCATGGACGCTAATCGATCACATCATGATCAGTTACGGCTGAGGAGGTTCTGTCCAAAACTGTCGCTGGACTTGGGGAACGAGCATTGACTCCGATCACGCTGTTGTTTGTGCCGACCTCCGCTTGCGTTCCGGTGGATGTCCGCAACGTCGCTGGAAGCGCATAGACACCAGCCAACTTACGAAGCAAGATATTCTGAATACATATCAAAGTATCATGGCTTCCGGACTGAGTAAACACCCACTGAACACCGTTGAAGATCACTGGTCGTATATTCGCCAAAAGTTACTACCAGCAGGCATGTCTTCATGTGGAAACTCAAATTGCCAACCTGGATATTGGATCACTACACAGTCTGGGACTTTTGGATGCACGCAGACATACGCCGACTGAAAGCGAACATAATAAAACTCCCAAATATCTTAGGTCAAAACTCCGTGCTAGCCTGAGGGTCTCATCGTGCTTCGGAAATGGAAACAGCCGCTGCCATTGGTAACCATCATAAGTTATTCCGTCAGAAACAGGAAACGGGCAGCAGGTAACCTAGTGTTAACGAGACCATACGCGACGAGAGAGGACAGCCGATTCACAGCTTGTCAAAACGGTTGGAACGTTGGATCGAACGCCTTGAGAAGCGGTTCAATTAGTCGGCTTCTCCTTTGGCCAATGATCGACCTACACCCTGGGCTGTCACTCTGGATCCGCCCTGTCGCTCAGAAATCGATCATCTGATCAAACTGTTGAAATTGAATAAGGCCGCAGAGGCAGATAGAATTCCTCCAGCCCTATTCAAATTTAGGGGGCATGCTCTTGTAGATGCTTTACACGAGTCGCTAGTAAAATTGTATGAGCAGGAGACTGTCCCAACAGACTACAACTACTCCGTCGTTGTCCCAATTTTCATGGGAGGCTCCCGTTCGGAATGCGGCTGTCATAGAGGAATCAGTCTGATCTCAATTACCTCTAAATTGCTTGCGTCTGTCCTTCCCCACAAACTTACTATCTCTCATGAAAGCCAGACTCGCGATTATCAAGCCGAGTTCCGTCGAAATCGAGGCTGCATCGACCACAAATTTACTTTGCGTCAATTGTCTGAACACCGCCATATTGATTGGCTACCTTCCTTATTCCTGTTTCTCGACATCAAGATGCTTTCGATTCGGTTGATCCATGTGCCCTTTAGGACTGTCTGCGTAAGAAAGGTGTGCCCGAAAAATGCGTGACCATTATCAGAGCGCTGTACGCGCATAGTTCGGGTAGAGTGAGGGTTTATGGCAAACTGTCGCCGCTCTTCAGTTTCTCCAGCGATGTGAAACAATGTTGACCGTTGTCATATTTCCTCTTTAACTACGCCATTGACGAAGTCATGAAAACAGCGTTCGCTGGATGCGATTTACGACTTGTGGAGCTGCTTCTTGGCGAGCGGCTACTTGACTTGGAGTATGTTTACGACTTTACTCTCATATGTGACAGCTGTCAAACGTGCTAAGCAGCACTGGACAGATTAGCACTGGATGTCAATTGTTTAAGACTATCTTGATCCCTCGAAATACAAGGCCTTTCTTCAATATTGGCAGGGACCCACCGCTGGGCTGACCCTTGGTGGTGATCAGCTAGAACTCTTTCGAGAATTCAAGTATTTGGACAGTTATATTAACACCGTGGGATTGAAGATGAGGTCACGATTCGTATAGCGAAAACCCCGGGTGTTTTTGCCAGTCTTCGCCATTTGTGGTGCCGACGCGCCATCATTCGCCCTGAAGGACAGAGTTTGTATACTGCAACCGTCCGTCTAACCTTCCTATAGTTGTGAAACCTGTCTCATCAGCTCGACATAAAAAGGGGCTAGTTACATTCGACCATCGCTGCCTTCGAAGCTTAGTCATGTCTGGTGGGAACCTTACTTGGGCTGGATGTCGTGTATTTGGTTCAGGAAGAGCGAGTGAACCGCTCAGCACCGTTATATCTCGCACCAGGCTCCGATGATTGGGCCACGTGTTGTGCATGCCAGCGCATCGACTCCCGCGACGTACGTTGTTTGCATGCCGGGGTGCGGATGACTTGGTCATAAAGAATGAAAATTCTCACTTGGAATTCGGCATCGGTTGGTGCATCCGGACTGCCCGGCTGGGGTCCGAACGACGATGAACACATGTGGTTGGACACACTTGCCAGGTGAACGAGTGAGTATGCGGACTACATAGCTCACTCCTTGCGTCTGACACAGTGGCAATTGCAAGGGCTGTTGAATAGATTGCCCCTTTGGCACTGCACGCTTCGGCATGGGTTTTACACTTTCAAAGCGTAGGGTATTTTTGCAGCACTGGACTGGTACCCCACTGGTTTCATTGGTCTGTGAACAGCGGCTGAAACTGGTCGATTTTCTTACCTACCTTGGTAGCCTTAATCATTTCTGCTAGCCACTTCACTGAGGTTAGTTTACGTACTAGCGAAACCCGTGTGGCTCCTCACAAGCTCCATCATATACATGTTCTCCTGTCAGCTTATACCGCTGTCATAATGTCGGTATTGCTGTGTGGATCAGGGACGTGGTCTGTTCCCGTTTAAGCCCTTTATGCTTGGTCTTTTACCAACGGTGTTTGTGAAGTATTGCTCGCATCTGGTGGGAACACTGAGTGCGCCATGTTGAAGTTCGTCATTTGGTTTTTGGTAAGCAACTTTTCAGTGCCTTACTCTGGTGTCTAAGTTGAATCGCCCACGTTGGCTTAGTCATGTCCTTCATATTCCCGTCGGCCGGCATCCTCACCTTACACTATACGCCGTCACTGCATTAAGTTGGATGGAACCACGAGGTGATCAATTATGACGTGACGTAAAAGCGTGAAGAAATTGATTGAGAGACTTAGTCTGGCTGGTGTCTGTCACTTTGGTGGATGGAGACCTAGGGGTGTACCATATGATTATCTTGGGACCTTATTTGATACAACACAGTTACTAAATCATCGGCACTCCAGCATACGATTTCTTGTGGCCACCTGTTGGCATTTCATCCTGCTTACTTGCTCACACTTTTCTCTTTTTCTTTTATCTGTGGTGTTTGTGTTCCATCACATTCTTATCTGTTACTACCCAATTGTCGCACGTCATAACAACTATATCTACAGCATTTCGTCGTCTTGGCCTTAGGTATTCAACTGAACTGAGCCGATCTACTTTCCGTTATATCCATTTTCGGGATCATCTCAGCCTACAGCATCTCACTTTAGCTGCATTATTACCTGACTATCCGGTCCTCAATTCCCGATCCTTATATGCGTTTCCCTCTTCATATCCCGAGCTGTCGATAGCAGCTGTAATGAAAATGTGGAGTTGACCTCTCAACGGTCGGATACAGTCCTAGTGAGCACAATGACACGGACTGACTTCAAAGTCAACCGAAACCACGATTAAGCTTACATGTCGCAATGCAGGACACACGGCGGGTACTCTAAAACTTCACTATCAACTTTTAACCGCTGTGTCAAGCTATGCTCGCGAAGCTCAGTAGTCACGTGATCATGGTGATAGCCGCCAACCATTATGTGCCGAGTTCCACTCCCAGATCAGGCTATCTCTACCTCCTGAGTCAGGATGAAACCGTTGATCGTCGAGTGCAGGGATGGGATAGGGCAACACTGAAACCCTCCACTTCTGGTGGTATTCCGTTTGTGCACTGTCAGATTGATTGAGCGCATCCAACCTCTTGGCCTCGTCGACACATGTGTAGCTGCAGACGCAGCCCGGCTTACCAATACCTCTTTATTGGGCTCATCACCAACATGGTCTGGTATCTGGTATCATCTTATTTCATCAACCATGCGTCCGTCGTCTCCGAAGCAGTAGGTGGATGAAACTATTAAAACTCAGTTTTTCATTTTCACGATGCATTAGCCGCTTGTATGTCCTTCCAACAGACCGTGGCCACTCGTAGGCTAAAAATTCCTATCGAAGGTCATTCTGAGGCGCCTGTCGTCGCTATCGTACTGCTTCATGATTCTGGTCACTCACTTCTCAAACTTTCTCCGTTAGTGCAACTGTCCTTCAATTTGACACCTGTATACAGGCATGCCTTGATCTACCGAACTATCTCTGCTTGGTATTGCAGGTATCGATCTGAAATCGTAACCTTCTGAACCTGCATTTGAGTCCAGTTGCTCATGTAGATGCCATCGCCTTAGCACCATGCGGCCGGTGCACATCGTTTTGTGGTTTGTATATGTTACTGACCGCAATTTACGGCGTAATCGTGTCTTGAGCTACTTTGTCTCTCGCCTCCTCAGATCTGGGCCGCAAGCAAATTGTGGCCGGCCTGATGGGGCGACCAGACCTACACTAGTTTAAGTAATATTGCCTAACGAACTGTTTGTTGTGCCAATTTCCCACTTATTTCTTTTGTTCCATAGGCCCTTCCCCCCCGTATCCCAACCCATCGAGGTCTTAGTTGTTTTAGTCTGTCTTTCCCTTCTGTTTGTGCTCTGCGTGTGTATCATCGTCGACTACCCTGCTTTCTCTACTCAGGTCGGTTACTTGTGTCTCGCGTGGCATCTCCACCAGTTCACCGAATGGCGGAGACGCATTTGTATCTTCTTGCACTGGTGGTGGAGATGCGTGCGCTGCTCGTGTGAAGGAGCTGGAGGCGGAACTACACCTGTTGTCGTTGAACTTGTCCGCGAAGGATTTGCAGTTGACAGCTTTGAAGGACAGCCGCGCTTTGCACATCGTTAATGGATCGGATGGAAGCGACAGATCTGCTTCACACGACGACCGCCCCAAATCGTCCTCTACGATGAACCGTTTGGGTGCTGAGCACTCGGAGAAAGAGGAGCTTCTATCCAAGTTACGCTGCTTGCAGGAGGAAAATCGGCGAATGACCGACACGTTGAAGGAGGAGGACAAGATGAAGCAAGAATTGATGACAGCCTATCACAGTTCATTGCGAGAGATAACCGATTTGAACGGTACGTCCGCCTCCGAAAATTGCTGTGCATACTTTTAACCTGTGATATGGGTATGGATGTTGTGTTCTCCCTTGAGCTGGCTGTTTCAGATCTAGGCGTTTCATTGCCATGATCGGTAACATCTTCCGTGTGGCTTTCAGGGATAGATTTGCATTGCATCATAAGCGACTTGCAGATGAAAACTACTATTGATCGATTACCGCTTTATTGTCAGGCTTCGATGAACTCACACCTCTTGGTTTCAGGTAATCAGCTTTGTTCGGTTGACCTGAAACAGGCGAATGACTTCGTCCGCAGCGCTTCGTTGTGAACTTCTAGCTCCAAGTGTTTGATCCGAGTGCTGAAGCCCGATGAATTTAAGGGCTTTGCGGTCTCTTGTTGTTCCAGAGAAACGTATACAGCTTTAATACCCAGTCCAGCGAACAATACACCTTTGCGTCTACCTTTGTTAATGTCATTTTCATACCGTACTTTGGAGCTTGTTTGCCTGTCGACTTGTTGCACCTTGTAAGGCCATTTTCCATGAAACCATTTGAACCAAGTTCCCTCTTTCCTTCCTTCATTTGAAATTCCTTCTTTCACACACTGATGCCGACGGAGACACTAGTGCGGGCCCCTGTTATGGTCACCAAGGTCGCCCCGGCCGCTCCGATTGGCTGTTCGCGAAAATCTACCCGCTCCTGATTGGCCGATCAAAAAGGCAGAGTCGTAGGCATGGTTTAATGGCTACCAAATGCGGGACGATCACACAACGCAGAGTAGCGATATGTATTTATTCATAGCGACTTTCCTGAACATTCTCTGTTCTCTTCTTTACCTACCAATAATAGTATTAGATTTTGCGAAAACATTCTTTTGGTTAACCAATGCGATTATTTTGCTCGATTTCTGGAAAAAGGTTGGACATTGATCCTTTTTGGGTTCACTAATCCGTTCTTTAGGAGCTGCTCCTAACAGCCTCAAATGAAAACTCTAGTTCATCTCACCGTTTATACCATATCCCTAGGTGTTCATCGCCATCCGAACACACGCACTGGTGCAGCACAAGCAATAGATTCCTGATCCTTACTGCAAGCAAAACATGTGGCGCATAGCAGTCCGAAAGTCACAGGGCTAATGAGTTGAACCCAAATTGGGCTCTCTCCACCCGTAGAATTTGATGAAGACCATTCCCGTTCGTGAGATGCAATGCAACTCCAGTGATGTCTTGTTTCGGATACGGTCTAATTAGTCAGCATGAACTTAATCTGCCCCAAACTAGTTTCGGGACGAAATCAAACTGCACTATTCACCTTCCGAATCCCAATGCACAATTTCTAGTTTGACATCCATCCTGTCTCTCTACGTACGGACCTAGTTGGGATATTTCCGTCCATGAAAACACACTCATCGTACACACATATATCTGAATGACAGCGCATTTATCGCGTTTGCGCTGGTACCTCACTGTTTCTCATAACCACCTCAGTGTAACCACATGAAGTGACCGACGATATGCTTCGTTCATAATCCACTGAGGTGATCGCCGCCGGATGGTTTGAGTTACTGCGCTATACCGCCGTTGGAAAGGGTGCATTTCCAGTCCCTTATTCAACCTCAGTGGCCTATTCGGTCGGTGCTTCGTCACTGACCAAACTGTGTAACTCACTCCTATGATACAAATTGCACGGAGAAGCTAACTCCGTTAGTTTGTCCGAGGAGCTTCACTGTGTTTCGTGGGCTTGTCGATGGATTACTCTTTCGTTTTTGTTTTAGCTTCGCTCACGAGAAAAGAATTTCAAATTGTGGAACTGAACATGCGTTTGGAGGGATTGACTCCGCACTTGTGTGATTACCTAAACTTGCAGAACGGGCCACTCAAGTATTTCCCAAATCAGGGAACATCCTCAGGTGACAATTACACCATGGGTCAATACCATCCTCTTCGCACTGCACAGCCTCCAGACCCGTCGTCCTTGCGACATTCCGGTTCGAATGCAAAAGCTGTTGGTCGACCTTTACTCACTAATCGCGGGCTTCACGACGGTCGTTCTGCACGTACTCAACCGAATGGTCTGGATCACTCTTTAGCTGTTGGCTGCTTCAATTCAAAGATGGGTTACACTTACCCTGTCTATGGATCCGGTATGTTCACTTCCTTTTTCGCACTGTGTGGTTAAAGCGTAAGTTTAACCGTTTCTTCTTTCTTTTTCAAGGCTTCTTGGACGGAACTGGAGTGCCTGTGACCGAACGACCTCCATGTATTGGGGACAATTACTCTCAACTTACTATGCCAAACGGAAGTGGCATTCCACCGCATACTTTTGACAGTTCTTATTCAGGATTTCTCAACGCCTCTGACAATGGACACCCCTGTGCCAAAGCTCAGCTGGGTCAGTCTCCCTTTTTCGGACGTCCACCCGCGACCCATATGTCTGACGACTTCAACCGATTCGGTTCTCCTCATTTGGACTCTGTTTATTCCGGCGGATCACATCCCTCTTCGATCTCTTCCCCGTTTTATCACCAAAGCCGTCAGGCATCTACCGTGTCAAATCCAACCACTGCATATCCGGACCTTACAACCAGAATGTTACCTATGGGGAACGCAGCGCTTAATTCCTCCCTACACCCGTCCACCGTATCATCACCAATTATGCTTAACACGAATGTCAGTCGCACACTTCTCAGCCCTCAGTCACTTCGGTGCGATTTTCAATCGTTCTCCACCGGATGCACAACTGCTGTCGGACCCTCAGAGTCCATGATGACCACTGCCACTGATCCGATTCATTCCGGGTTGTTGCATTCGCCATCTGGCCTGGAATTTCCCACTCTGGATTCGACACCAGCGAACTGTTCTATCAGTTATTTGCTGGAGACCATGACTTCAGCTCGGTCGGGTGATAACACTCTCCCCGTCAGTGCTCGCCAGCAACTTCCCCATGACATCTTTTGCGGTACGAATACAGGTCGTGTCCAACAACAAAGCACTTTTATGTCCTCTTCTTCAGATAATGTAAACGCTTTTCTCCCAGTTACTGTATTCTCAGGAGGTTCGAATGCTCTTAACTTTCTGAGAACATCCACAAACATGGATTCTACTGTTACCCAGTCAGGCGATTATCATCCGTCGAACGAGAGCGCTTTGGACTCTGAATCAAATCTCAGCCTACGCAGCGACTCCTGCAGCACCACTCCCACCCTCGTACCCTCTTCATCGGACGACGTTTAATGCGCCCAATTGAAACTAGATGCGCAGCCTTTGCCTCCGTCCGCCGACACTCGTCGATGCTCTGTTGTTGTTGTTGCTGCTGTCGTTGATTGAGCTGTGTGGTGCCCCACTTGCCATCGCTTTTCTCCTTGTGATTTTCTCGCACTTATTTCGGTCACATCTCCCTCGTTGTCTTCTATGCTTGACCAGATTTGTCCTCTGTTTTTTTTGCTCGTCACTTCACCGTTCCTGTTAACAGTCTACTTCTTCGCTCTCTCCCCCCACTGTTTTTCCCGCATTAGCCATTTTTCACCGAGAGCCGCTCGAGAGCTGTGTCGGAACAAACAATGAAATGAGTTCCATGCTGCGCTCCCAATGGCCATGTGCATCTGCTTAAGAGTTCGTGTGTGTGTGCCGCCCCCACCGGTTTACTCCGCCATGGGCTAGTTTGTTGCTGCTCCTCATCGAGTCGCACACACACACACAAAGACGCTGAGATCTGTGTCAAGCACTTGCTTTTATCTCGTGATAAATCATTGTTCATTGTTCATTGTTCATCATGTGCCTACTCAAACAAGTGGCGCAGTAGTATCGGTACAACCACTCATAACGGGCAAGCTGTGAGGGATTAAAGGGAGTCAAAGTGGTATCCCGACAGCACTTTTGGCCACCGCTGTGATTGTGATTACACCGCTGGAATGCTACACCCAGAGGGTATTCAGAGAGCCGAGAGATATCCGCAGGTATACATGTGAGCGGGCTAGACACGAAGTAAGAAACGATTGAGGGACTAGTGAAGGTTCGCATTCAATGGTCCTAACGAAATTGCAGGGGGCGTTAAATGCTTCACCGGATGCTTTTAAAAGGCAGACAGATTCAGCCGTTGTCATATTCGATCTATAAGCGAATCGGTATGCAGCAATCGCGTACGGATACAACAACATCATAGCATGCGAGTAACACATTAGAATGACCACGCAAGATGTAGCTACAGCTGATCAGCTCGCAACAAGCCGGCTGTCTGTAAGCTCCCAGATAGATATACCTTAAAACCTGTGTAGGGCACCTACCAAACGCTTGAACAATAACACATGTTAACTGAAGTTTGAGAGGACTTCACACGGCGTCTAGGGAGTATACTTATCCATTGCTGTTGAACGCCATCAGTGCATCAGATGCAAATGCCTTGTTTCGGAGCGACACAATCTTCCCATAGTCTACGGATTTCCAATGCACCGTCATTAAACCGGATATACGGCCAGGAACGGCACGCAAACTCGATCACGCATAGTCGCTCACCTAAGTGTTATAATTGCGGTTAATGGGGCTTAGAGCCATCAGAACAAATACCTTCACTGAACCGGAGAGTGTATGGACCAGATCTCAAGTCACATGGAACGGAAAAGACAGCCAACTGCAAACGTTACAGTGTGAATGTTTCGGACTGGAGGCGGCTTAATAAATATGAACCACAGTGGACCATTGGGTGAGAGTGCATTTCACAGTCAGGTGTGTAGGGCGACTTTGTACTAAGGCACCAAACTGACTATTGTAACATTTCACTATTACACTCTTTGAAAACACGTTCCCCGGACTCATACGAATGAAGCGCTGGGCTCACCCGTAAAAGGTGCATAGGTTTAGTAGGCGTATAATTCTCCCAGTGACTCCGTCCCATGGCTCTGCGCACGCCTCTGTCGGTTCAATAAGCCCCACAATTTTTGGTAGTTCAAACGTGTCCAGCAATATATCAAACGGCAACTTGAACGCATAAGTGATTGTTTGTTCGATCCGTCGTTTGCGTCGCTGATAAACGTGCCGTATGACAGTCAACATTCCGACAGACACCACGTACAACACAGAGCATTTTCTTTATCGTGCCACTGCAGGTTGCCAGGTTTGGTGGTTCGGCCATGCACCGGCTCCCCTAGTAGAAAATGTCTGTTCACGTCTGACGCCAGTAGCCGTTGCGTAACCTTAGGGAGTGCTGCATCAATTGGAGGACGCGTCTCACACCCGAAAGTGGCTTCCGCTGGGGATCTGCCGCCTGGTAGATCGGGGTTTTGCGTAACCCAGATTACTTAACAGGAACAGCTGTATGATCTCCTCTGTGGGTCCTTCCCCCCGCAGCTTCTGAAATAATCGTTTGATGGTATCCACGATTCTTTCTGCTTACCAGTTGGACTGGGGATGTCCCGGAGGCGTCCGGCAGTGCTTGATACAATTACACTGGAGTAAAACACCAACATCGTCGGAGATAAATTGCGAACCGTTATCGGAAACCAACGTGTTTGGTTAACCGAACTGCGCAAATAACTGTTGTAATTTTCGTACCGTGGCCACTGTCGTGGTTGTGTTTATCAGGTATACGTCCGGCCACTTGGTATACGCATCAATCACAATTCCAAAATCTGGCCTTGAATGGGACCATGGAAATCAAAGTGAATTCCGTCCCATGGCTTAGAGGCTGGCATCCAGCTTTGGAGCAATTCGCTCGGAAGTTTCGCTGCTGATGCACATTTGCTACATATGGCGACACAATCATGGATAGCGTTGTCAATAAAAGGCCACTATACGTAACTGATGGCTGAGGCTTTCATCCGGGATATTTCGGGACAATGTAGGTATAAATATCTTATCTTAACTTGCCGTTGAGGAAGTCGTAAGGAATGGTCTGCATAATTCATTAAATGCGCTGGCGTTAAGCTCCTCTCAGATACCCGATCTGTTGACATGGACTACGCTGATGATATTGTCTTGCTAGGTGACGGTCCACAGGCCGTCCAACTTGCACTCAACCACTTGGCAATTGAAGCGTCAAACTATGGGATGATTTTTCTCATCCAATTGCAAAGGTCTTTTGCAAAACTTTCAGATGCCTGTACCTGCACTCACTTTTGGTGGCGAGTCACTGGAGGTTACGGAGAGTTTTGCCTACCTGGGTAGTTGCATCACAGCTAATGGAGCTATTGGAGACCAGATTTCGTTGGGTATCTCAAGAGCTCGCCTCGCTTTCTCTAAGCTGAAGCACTTGTGGCGCCGCCATGACATCGGTATATCCATCAAAGGACGGGTTTATTGTGCGGCTGTCCGTGCTGTACTGTTGTACGGTTGCGAGACTTGGTCTGTTCGTATCGCTGACCTGCGCCGTCTCTCGGTCTTTGAGCACCGCTGCTTGCGGTCGATTGCCTGTGTGTGGCCGCTGCACCACGTAACCAACGTGGAAGTTATACAGCGTGGCTTGGGTGGAGGCAGCAATTCGCTGGAGGAGCTCGTCCCACGGTGTCAGCTGCGGTGTCTTGGACACTTTCTGCGTATGCCCGGTCATCGTCCTCCGTGTCGCGCGTTCTTCGCGGTTGCTGGATAGGCGCGGTAGACAACCTACGACATGGAGAAGCCACACCAGAATTGTCGAGTGACGCATCACTCCCCAACCCCCGGGTTTTCACCCAATGTAACTAGTGCATGTATGCTGCTATAGGCTGTGCAATGAACAAAGCTGATAGAGCCATGTTACACAATAAAAGAGAAGTGGTACTCCCCTCGCGCACTCTACGATTTGTGGTACTGTTACCCAATCGCAAGTACTGTGATTGTCACTTTCTGTGTGTATTTGTTTACTGTGTAACCAGTCGATTGTCAGAACTGAACGGGTACTGCAGATGTACGTCCTTACTGAATATTCATGTTCGTTTGTATAGTTGCTTTTGAGCGTCCTTACGAAGGACAAAATGGCTAGTTCCATTTCAGCAAAGCCAAAGGCATTCACACTTAAAGAAATGGTATCAGTGAGTCAGCGATGTTAAGAAGAAACAGTTCGCTAACGTTGGCGCACAATTTCACAGTAGGAAGAACACAAATCCATGTAACATAAAAGAGGAAAGCCGTTTTTGTATGAATTTGTGAACCACACACCAAGACTGAAAAGAAAGGATGATAGAAAAATGTGTAACGAAACAGGAACGGATCTTGCTGGAAATAGTGCCAGTCAGCACTGACAGGAAAATACCATTATCTGGACAAGTGATTCAAGAACGAGTATTAGACTTCGCAAAAGAATTGCAAAACAGACTTTACATCGTCAAACAGTTGGCTACAGACTTTGATCATTAGACGATCTTGTGTTTGGCAAGCAATCGGGTGAAAGCGGTAACTCAGATATGTGTGCAGCATCTGACTGGGCAGAAAAGTTACCCGAAATTAGTTCCGGCTACACAGCTCCAGACATTTTTAATTTACATGAAACGGCTTTGCTAGTCAAAACGACGTCGGATAAAGGCTTTGTGTAAAAGGATAGAAATGCGCAGGTGGAAAAAGAAGCGAGATGCGTATCACAGTTATGCTGTGCACTACCACATTGGGGGAGCGAGAACCGGCTGCAGTGATTTGGAAATCAGCCAACACTCGAATTTTAGAAATATCAACATGAAAAACTACCGGCAGTTTACAAGGATAATAAAATGGCATGGATGACAGCAGCTTTTTCCGAAGACTTAATAGTAAACTACAGAAAAACGCAACATCATACCTTCTCTCGACAAAGCTGTTGCCCTCCTTATTCCACCTACTTAATATCAAATTGGAGTTGCTGTCACCCAACACCACTGTGTTACTTTAACCCTACGAGCAGAGTATCATTCAGGCGCCTAAAGCGAAGTTTAGGAAAATACAGCTTCTCCATCTTATACCGATCATGGAATCCCACAAAGATATGTCCGGAACTGATTTCATGCAACGACTAAATTTATTAGACGTCGTGTTCTACATAACTTCTACCTGGAAGGAGGTGCAGAACTCAACCATCTCTGATTTTTAAAGCGGGGTTTCCTTGTACTGCAGAATTAGATTCTGAGAGAACAATGCAAACTTGACCTGAGATATATGAGCAAATTGTGCCTCCTTCAAACGCACTTGCTATGGATACTCTCTCAGCGAAATAGTTTGGATGCAAACTGGCTGACAGCCATCTGGTTGCTTCTTATTTCCAAACATGTCACACAACAAAAATACACTGGGACTTG